TATATTCGAGTAAATGTCTTTTTTAAATATTCTAATCAATGATTTTGTTTTTTTACTAATCGACTTATAGAAGTAGTGCGTCCAAAACCAGTATCAGACAAGGCAACATCTGGTAAATTTTTTCATATCGTGATCAATAGGTTTTTTAATGAATAAATTATATATATAATACTTAAACTACCAGCAATAAGGAAGTTTTTTACAAGTAAATATATTTGTTGTGTTAGTTTTACTTTAATATTAGCTTGATTATTATTTTCAATATGAATAGCAAGAGCCACTTCAACTAAAGGGTTAGGTAAATATTCGATACAATTTAATCGAAATTTATTTTCAAATAAGATACATTTAGGTAAAATGAATATGGAAATCGCATTTCGAAGACCAAGTTTCTCAACAGAAGGAATAGACTTGATGACTTTGCAAGCAATTCTCAAAGAAGCTGAAGTTGATTTCTCAATGATAATTGGTGAAAAAATAGATGTAATATATAATTTATATTTAAATTTGTTTTCTTTGAATGTCTTTTGTTTGACAAAATGAAATGAATATTTAATTAGCAAATAGTTGTCTTTCGTTATTATGCTATACTTGTTAATTAGACATATGAAAAATAAGAAAAAATATAATATAAGTATGAGTTTTGACTCAATATCTATGTTACTTATTATTTTGATTAAATACATTCTATCTTAAATGAATTTAATTAAACTTTTAAGTTAGTCTTATTTTTTTTAATTTTTCAAGACAAGGTTATATGCTCGTATTAAGTCAACAACAGAATTATTAAACAAAAAAAACTCACTATGAACTCCATGCCTTGGTAATCGTAAGCGACGTTTGTAGATTTTTTCAGAAGTTTATTCCAGATCTATTAATAATATTCCTAAGTGCGGCTCACCAATTGAACATATATTTTGCTTATAAACCAGTCTTATAAATCTTATAATGGTTTGAAAATTTCACCGTAAAATAATATCTTCTTTTTCAGATATTCAATATTCATATGATCCATTTTATAATTTCTTTGAGAAATAATCATAAAAAAAAACAGGAAGTTTTTTCTGAGGGAGCTCTAGAGTACGGCTAAATCTCGTATATAATCATAGGATATAATACCAATCTTTCAAATAGATTAGTTTTGATATAATTTTTTCCTGTATGTACTTTTCTTTATATTCGTTTTATACGTTCTTCCAGTACATCTCTTTATTATAAGCTCTTTTCCCTACATATACTCTTTGAAGAATCAATCACAAGTCTTATGATCTTTGAAAAGCAAAAAAACTAAAATATCAGTTCAGTGACAAATTTACAAAACATTAGCCCAAGTAAACCATCTTTTATATCATTGTCGCGCTCTTCGCAGAACCGCGATCAATGCTCGTCTCTACGTATACAATAAGAGATACCTTTATCTCACGTTTCGAAAGTACTAAAAAGGAAGAATCACGAGTCGAAACAATTTATTTAGCATCTCTATCATTGATCTAGCACCCTGGATTCTATCAATAGTACTTAAAAACCTAGAAGTAATATTGTGGGAATACTGAAAGGACGTATAAAATGAACGTAATCAAGCATCATATAAAAAAGAGTGTAAAGAAAGAACGTAAATTTAAAATATAAAAGAAGAATGTAGAAATTTGTTTTTATTGTTTTCAAGAGAAATGATAAATAGGATGGACTGTTAATATTCAAAACGAAAATCATCTAAACTGTCGTCAGAATAGAAGGTCACACCTTATATTTGAATTATCTGTTGAAAATCAAAGTTCAGTTTATGCAAAACAAATTAAAATTGATGAAAAATTAATGAATATTTCTCGTTCAAATAATGCAAAAACTGACAAGAGAAGTATGTTTTATTACTAAGTTATGTTCAACCACCAAGAAAAATAGATGGCAGGTCTCTATTCCAAAATTTCATTAATTACACGAAAAACCATTAAGCAGAATCATAAAGAAGAACTTCGACTATTTTTGAACATCCGAAAATCTTTATTGAACCTTTTCTCACTGAAATACACTTGTGAATAGTCAAGAAATGGCACTTTTTTATTTTTATGCCGATAACATCGACACATCCACACCCTCAAATTCTAAGTTTGAAAACAGATTCCTATTATCGATATACATCAAAGTATGTTGATGTCTAATCTATATACCATGAATGTTCATCACAGATTTATTAACCAGTTGAATATATGATTAGATTTCATAGAAATGTTTAAGTAAGAAAAATATATTACGGAATATAAAAGAGAAATAAAAATCAAATGCAAAAGTAAATAAAAAAGTTTTTTTGTATTTAAACTATTTAGCACGTAGTATTATCAGGCTAGAAAAAAATCTGTGAATTATAAATTTGGACCTTAATAGGGCCGTACTAAAACGTTTTCCCTTTTCTAATACTCTTCAGCTCTGATTAATTTAATTTGTTTTGATTATAATTCAAAAATTGAATTGATTTTTGAATTCTAGAAAATAAACATTTTTCGTCTAGCTTATTTCTCAGTTGATTAAATTGAGCAAAAACTATTGAATTAACCATCTTTTTATGTTATATTTTGAGGATAAGGATGATTCAATACCACCACAATTAAAGCTAACAGGCAAAGCTTCACATCCACAAAGTAGACGACATGATAAAGATTGGAGAGGAACATATTTTTTTTCATGAAGACTCATCAGACATTGTTGCACATGTTGAAAATGATATTCATGATTGTTTTATTTCATATGTATCAGAAGATATTGATGTATATTTATCAAGACTTTACGAGATGAGTAAAGCAGCTGATCAAATTCTTCATGATCGATATTCTCAAATATCAACTATGGAACAAACAAATATTAATAAATTAACTCGAGAACGACAAAAATATTATTGAGAAAATAATAGAAGAAGGTCATTCACAGATGCATCAATGTGGAAAATATTATAAAGAAATTATTGACGAATTTATTGCCAAATTAGAAACTGAGCTGTCAAAACATTTAGATGATTTACAAAAGAAAATGGAAGAAAGCAAAGAACAAGTTTTCGAAAGTTCACAGGACATTATTAAAAATTTATCCATAAAAGCAGAAAATGCTAAAAGAGAATTTCTTCGTCGATTAGAATCTGTTACTCAGAAAAGACGTCAACAAGTCTTAGATCAAATAATAAAGATTTCTATAAATAAAACACATCAATCTCTTGGTTATGAATAATTAAGAGAACTTAATCTTAAAATGTATTCAACTGTTGGTATCAAGCCAGGTGAGCCAGGTTGTGATAATATACCTGAAAGAGATAAATACATCAAAGATATTGAAAATGCTAAACAATATGAAGTACCTAAAAAAGAATTTTATAGTGCAACTGATCTTAATTCAAAATTCAAAAAGCGTAAGCAAAATTAATAAATAATCATCAATTAAAATTATTCGAGAGAACCTAAAGAACGTTTTCTATATATTTTTATTTGTATTCTATTCAATTACTTTAGCTTAGGAAAAAAAACATAACTTAGTTGTATAACCTATTCAATTTTTGATTGAAATAAATAAAAATGGAAATAATCAAATTGTAACTATTGAATATTTTATATTTTGAATATTTGAAGAAATGAAACAATCTATAATAGAATATTATAAAACAGTAATTTGATTATAATAAAACGAACGTTGTTTTTTTAAATTTAACTTATTTGTATATTCAACAAGGCAATAATCAATATAAATTCAAACTGAAGCTTTTGTTCAAACATGCAATCGAATAATCAGAGATGGAAAGAGGAAAGACAATAATGATTAAGTAAATTTCTCTAGTAAATAGAATTTGTAAAGCTTTTGATGATGATACAATTAAAATAATTTACGACATAAAGATTAAAAATTCATAAAAACAACTATTTTATTTTTACAAAAATTTTCCATAGTTTTATTTATTAAATAAAGGCTAACAAATAGAATCAAAAATTACATTGTGCGATAAAGTATTAGATAGTACTAAACTAGACTTCAGTTAAAAGAAAAATTTCATGTCAGTTATGTTCTCATAAGTTACCGATGGCACAAAAATTCACTACTTTCTCACTTTTTCTAATATTTTCAAAGGTTCTTCCATTTGTATTTTTTATTCAATACTCTTATGAAAGAGTTTACAATGTGGTCGTCGAGAAAAAGCTTTACCTATTTAATTCTATTCTCACAAATAAAAGCTATCGATAAGTCAAATTTCGATTTTATTTATTCGTATCTCTTACATAAAGGTGTTACGATAGAATATCTCACATTAGGATGTGGGTGGGCGTGGATTTCCTGCTCATCGATGCACTCTCATATGTATAGATTCTTTGGCTCGCTATCATCCTTTGTCTTATATCTGTAGAAATGATCGTGTTTACTTATATAATTTAATAGTAGTAGTCATCAATATGACAGCATCGGGTCTCATAAGTAAGAACATCACATATATTTTCGACATTGAATATATTCATTCCATCCCTTATCATTGTCACTGACTTCTGTCTTTTTAAAGGTAAGTGATGCCCAGTTAGTGTTTATCAACTGGCATTACAAAAGTCACTTCAATCATTATCAAATACAGGCATGAGAGAAAAATATCAACTGCAATCGAGATAAATCAATATTACTACATACAAATCTGCACTTACTTTTTGTAATTTTCTTAGTAGAATGTATTGCGTATGGTTAAACACATTCCTAACAGAAAAAAAATATCGATATAGTATTTCTAGGGTATATTCAGCAATAACTACAATAACTTGGTATGTTCTGATTCTTATTACTCCATCATATTCAATGCTCATAAGTATTACTTTATTTGATACTTAAGATTTGAGCGTCTGATTCCATTTTTCTTTTCAGAAAAGATCATCATCTTGAGTTTTATAGTCGTATAAACGAATAGCTTAATCTAAAAATAAAAATTTATAATGAATAATACCTAATTTCTTTTCAGATCTTTTCGACAAAAAATAAGTCATGAACAAGTTAGCATTTGTTGTGACTCTTTTATGCTATTATTTCATTGATATTGCTTTAAGTGAAAGGCAATTTCAATTTCCAACTAAGGCATGTGGACAAAATTTTAAATCAGATGAATGTTTGGAGGCTCTGGTAGAAGAAATTCATGATCTTAGAAATCAGATGGGGACAAACATCAATATTTGCGGTAAACAATGTGTGAGCTCAGTACGAAACCTTAAGAAATATAGAGCCACATTTATATGTTTATCAGACCCATGGAAAGAAACCGGTGGGGAAGCTTTTGTCTTAGGTGAAAGTAGCGCCATTCATAGTTCTATTTCGAGTTGGCTGTGGCATCTTAAATCAGCTGGCAAATTCAAAATTGGTGATTTTAAATGTTAAAAATGGAAATGATCACATGATCTATCACTAATGAAAAAAAATGAAAACTTTTCATGAAAAGATTCATGTTGTAATATTTCAAAAGATATCTTTCGACTTGTATTTTATGGAGTTCAAGTGTTTACTTTAATAGAAATACTCGAGTCTTTATATTAAAGTGTATCATCCTTTAAGTTTCTACTAAATGTGGTGAAATCATGTTTGCAAGAATAATGAAATTTTGAAGAAAACCATTGAAAAATAATGCGCACGTAAAATTTAAACATGAAAAGATTTCCAAGGTCTGCTGCTCATTTCTCTAGAAAATTGCTAGTTCTCAGTACTATAAATGATTTTCATCAGTTTTTGGAAACATATAATACGTGAGCAATTCAAGAATGGTGTAAGTTATGTGTTTACTTACAATCCATACACTGTTTTTAATAAAAATAACAATTCTAATGTCTTGAAGAGAAAAGAAATGTGGCTTCGCATGGTTCACTATTTTAGACAATCACAAATTCGTGATGTATATGCACGGATTCACCTAAGAAACGCTTTGAAAAATAGAACAATGTTCTCTTTCACTGAATTGTGTGAGTGTGGGATGTGGAGACGAGGTGTGAGTATAGATGTTATTGTTTTCTTCAGTTACATCCACACGCACACTCCACATTTGCAAGACGATATAACATTTCTAGCTTTTTTTCATGACTGAAAGTGTAATGCAGTGCATTAAATTCTTATAATAAGTTTATAAATATAATCAACGAGTTCATGGAGTGTGGGTGTGAGTACCGGCGAGGATGTGTGAGATTGTGCTTCTGATTATACTCACATTCACAACCCACATCCCACACTATAGAAATAAACAAGCATTCGATGATTTATTTGAACATGAGTTTATGAGAACAATGTTTCATTTTTTTTTGTTTTTTAAGAGAGATATTTATGTTATGAGACAGATGGTATGGGAAGAGCGAATATGTTCAGTGTAATGTGGTTCTTGAATGAGTTCATAAGCAGACTATCCAATTGGCAGATGCACTCTATACAACCGTGTTTCACCATATAACGAATCTTATATACATTGCGGATTATGTAATATTTTCTGCAGATAAACTGAGCCGAAGATTTTGTCCATTCCTATTAGAAATGCATTAACTAATAGTCATCAAGGGTGTGGGTGTGGGTGATGTTGTTCCTTCCTTCACGCCGACATCGACATCCACACCCACACCCTATTTTATATACTTTTTATGTGGTATACAAAGTGTTTTCGGTTAACATCTTAATTTTTCATGTTTTCTAAAAGAACAACGTAAGATGATGATGAACAATAAGAAATAAGAGATGGTGTGATCTGTCGAAGGTCAAAGTACAATGGCATATACAGATAATAATGCTTTTTAAGTAATATTTCAAGAATAAAATCAAGAACAACTGAGTTGCATTAACATCTCTACTAATAATGAAAGTAATCCAATGAATCTTTTTGTCTGCCAGTGAATATATAATAGTCTAATCAAAAAGATGACAAATTAAAAAAGTTTATTTCAAAATAGTAAGGCTTTTGTAAACATGCTATTTACATAAGTTTTAATGAATTACTCTTTTTTTTCGACATGCTGCTAATTTAAAGAATTACAACGAAACAGCTGAGATTTGTTTTTTTTCTATGAACACAACATTCATCATATCTTCAATACACAATAAAACGAAAGATTTTGATTAAGAATAAATGAATTTATCGAGAAAACCGATCGAGTCTATCTGTACCCAGACTCAGATATCTTCCAGACTGATTTAAGCATCTGGATGAATTGCAGAACTCTAATCAAAAGAATTTATTCCTTTAACAAATCTATTTCTTGAAAGCACAGAATATGCTCTATCTGAGCTTAAAAATTTATCGTGAAATGCCAAAAAAGTAAGTTCTAAACCTATTTACTCTTTATGAGTCTCATTCAAGTAATCGATTTAGATCATTACGAATTTCAATGAACTGAGATTTCATCAGATCTAAATGCAATTGTGATGATGATTCTTATGTTCTGTTAATCAAATCTGCTGCACGATTGATAACTTTATCCATGATTATTTCAATATCGGATGATGAACAAATTAGAAAAACCAAGAATTCTTTCTTCTATCTTTTTTTTTGATACTTTTTTTCATATTTGATATTTATTTCAGGGAAATAAGAAAAATAAAAAGCATAAGATGTATAATTGATATTTTCATAATTGTTGACTCTTGTTTTCTAATTATGAAAATATTTATCAGAGAGAAAGAAACGACAAACATGGTTCAATAAAAAGAAAAAAAAGAGATCTTTTCAGTAATGAATAGTTCCTGCAGATGAAATCTTGTTTGTATCAGAGAAAAGCGATCTACAAGTCGAATCTTTGTTATCAGAATCAGAAACGATGTGATTAGAAACGAGAGAATTGAAAGAAAAATAACAACTGAGAAAACTTTTTACCAAGATATACTGATGGCAATGTCATTATAGTGAATGGTGTTTATAAATGCATCTCTTCATCAGTCTTTCCCACGAAGACACACATATTTTGAAATTTTTTTAGTCACTTTTTTTGATTTCTTCTTTTGTCGGTTAAATAGTAACAATAAATTGTACATTAGTCATGAATTGCTGTGACAACTCGAACGTATTGCTGATCAAGAATATATCACAGGATGTAAAATACCAATCTCCATAAGATGGAGGAAAATGAATATGATAAAGTAACGAAGTCCATATTGTTCCAATGGCAGATATGCACGAATCGCTGGGACAAACAAGTTTTCTTTGATGAAATACCAAATGCATTCGCGCATCGGAGTTATGACCT